TGAGTTTTAATCCAGCGCTGCGGGTTTTCCCCGAAGGAGGGGTGGGGATCCCCATCGGCGTGAAGAAGGAGGCAATGGGTGAGGCGAGATGGGTGACGTAACAATGGTTATTATTATTATGATTTGATTTGATCAGCCGTGCTCCACGTCGCATTGAAGAGAACTTCACACCATTTGCAGGAACGCATTCATTCCCTATACATGGAACCATTCGAATCGGGCCTTGCTCCCCTCATCCCTACCACTCATGCAAACATTGGCACGGACTAGGGACGATTTTTCGAGGGGTGACAGTTAACCAGTCAGCATTTATTGAATGTAGCGCTCACCCCCGAAGGAGCCGCCTGATGCCCGGTTCATCTCTAGTCTGTCTAGGGTTCAGCTGCCCGCCCATTAGCACTAACCGCCCTTCTTCTGATGCCCACAGACTGAGGTCCACTCCAGTAGTATAATGCAGAATAACGTTTTATTGAACATCTTCTCTGAGGAGAGAGGGTATGGGGGGGAGGGGGTTCTAGGTGTCCAGGGGTAACCAACAAGAGCTCCAGACTCACCAGACCTGGTTGGCCTATCAGTGAAGATCCACTTGGGAGACAGCGGATGGCAACTGATGTAGCAGACAGGAAGGATGGATACAGATGCTCAAGCAGGAAAGACACCGACCATGCTCCTGAAGTCCTCCGAGTTCCAGGGTACATCAAGAGCCTGCACTGGTCCCACTTCTCTTCCTCTATCAGCAACACAAGCCTCCTCCATGTTGGAGGCCTCGGGGAAACCTTTCCCTCACACCAGCCCATTCCCAACCCCAGGCCTCCGGCCTAGCCTGGGGGGGAGACTGAACAGCACCCAGCCCTACTCCATGGCTGGTCCCGGCGAGAGAGAGAGAGCACATGGCAAATCCCTCCAGTATATGTCCCCTATCCCAGCATGCACCACTGCCTGAGAGAAGCCCAGTGATTGGCTGCTGTATTGTACATACACTACAGTGCCTCTCATTGGCTGCCCCACAATATGACAGAGTCACACTCCGCCCAGAACGGGAGGGGGGAGGGGTTCAGGCAATGCCAGACACCTGGAATTACCCAGATAAATGTCAACTATAATCCAGCCAGGCTGACTACAGCCCCGCCTATCACTAAATGTCTAGTAGTCACATCACATTTCTCTGTAAGTCTGTGTAGTCAGAGGTAACCCCCCCACCCCCCCCCCCACACTCATTGCATCGGCATGCTCCACGGCTGTCACCATAAAAAAAAAATGGAATGGCTGGAGTGCATGTAGACAGGAAGTGGTTGCAAAGAGGCTGCAGGGGATCAGCAGCACCGAGATGCAACAGAAGATAAAACAACAGACAATACAGGGATTCTAGTAAAAAAAAAAAGGGGGATTAGTTATGATGTACAGGGCAGAGCTGCAGCATTGTGATATCATCCTGCGTGCATTTTATAAATGGCCATCTATGACTCGTATGTACTGTGCTTGATGTGTATCAGGAACAAGTGGAATACATCTTCCTCATCATCTTCACTGTGGAAAGTTTCCTGAAGATCATCGCCTATGGACTGGTCCTGCACCCCAGTGCCTATATCAGGAATGGCTGGAACCTGCTGGATTTCGTCATTGTGGTTATAGGGTGAGCTCCGAAACGCATTCCCGCGCACCAGGGTCCCCCCTCGGACGCACAGCATGCAATGATCACACCACAGCATGCACGTCAGACCTCCCGGCCTCACATGTCTGATGACATGTTCTCTTTGCCTGTAGCAGTCCAATTAGAGTGCACTTAGAAAGAGTGAAGAGCCCCCAACTGTCCCCCTATTGGAGGAATAGTCTCTCAATTGGAGGAACTGTCTCTCTTTTGGAGGAACTGTCCCCCTTTTGGAGGAACTGTCTCTCTTTTGGAGGAACTGTCCCTCTTTTGGAGGAACGGTCTCTCTTTTGGAGGAACTGACCCCCTTTTGGAGGCATAGTCTCTCAATTGGAGGAACTGTCCCCCTTTTGGAGGAACTGTCTCTCTTTTGGAGGAACTGTCCCTCTTTTGGAGGAACGTTCTCTCTTTTGGAGGAACTGTCCCCCTTTTGGAGGAACTGTCTCTCTTTTGGAGGAACTGTCCCCCTTTTGGAGGAACTGTCTTCTCTTTTGGAGGAACTGTCCCTCTTTTGGAGGAACTGTCTCTCTTTTGGAGGAACTGACCCCCTTTTGGAGGCATGGTCTCTCTTTTGGAGGAACTGTCCCCCTTTTGGAGGAACTGTCCCTCTTTTGGAGGAACTGACCCCCTTTTGGAGGCACTGTCTCTCTTATGGAGGAACTGTCCCTCTTTTGGAGGAATGGTCTCTCTTTTGGAGGAACTGTCCCTCTTTTGGAGGCACTGTCTCTCTTATGGAGGCACTGTCCTTCTTTTGGAGGAACTGTCTCTCTTTTGGAGGAACTGTCTCTCTTTTGGAGGAACGGTCTCTCTTTTGGAGGAACTGTCTGTCTTTTGGAGGCACTGTCTCTCTTTTGGAGGCACTGTCTCTCTTTTGGAGGCACTGTGCCCCTTTTGGAGGAACTGTCCCCCTTTTGGAGAACGGTCTCTCTTTTGGAGGAACTGTCCCTCTTTTGGAGGAACTGACCCCCTTTTGGAGGAACTGTCTCTCTTATGGAGGAACTGTCTCTCTTTTGGAGGAACTGTCTCTCTTTTGGAGGCACTGTGCCCCTTTTGGAGGAACTGTCCCCCTTTTGAAGGAACGGTCTCTCTTTTGGAGGAACTGTCCCTCTTTTGGAGGAACTGACCCCCTTTTGGAGAAACTGTCTCTCTTATGGAGGCACTGTCTCTCTTATGGAGGCACTGTCCTTCTTTTGGGGGCACTGTGCCCCTTTTGGAGGAACGGTCTCTCTTTTGGAGGAACTGTGCCTCTTTTGGAGGCACTGTCTCTCTTATGGAGGCACTGTCCTTCTTTTGGAGGAACTGTCTCTCTTTTGGAGGAACTGTCTCTCTTTTGGAGGAACGGTCTCTCTTTTGGAGGAACTGTCTGTCTTTTGGAGGCACTGTCTCTCTTTTGGAGGCACTGTCTCTCTTTTGGAGGCACTGTGCCCCTTTTGGAGGAACTGTCCCCCTTTTGAAGGAACGGTCTCTCTTTTGGAGGAACTGTCCCTCTTTTGGAGGAACTGACCCCCTTTTGGAGAAACTGTCTCTCTTATGGAGGCACTGTCTCTCTTATGGAGGCACTGTCCTTCTTTTGGGGGCACTGTGCCCCTTTTGGAGGAACGGTCTCTCTTTTGGAGGAACTGTCTCTCTTTTGGAGGAACTGTCTCTCATTTGGAGGCACTGTCCCCCTTTTGGAGGAACTGTCCCCCTTTTGGAGGAACGGTCTCTCTTTTGGAGGAACGGTCTCTCTTTTGGAGGAACTATCCCTCTTTTGGAGGAACTGTCTCTCTTATGGAGGCACTGTCTCTCTTATGGAGGCACTGTCCTTCTTTTGGAGGCACTGCCCCCATTTTGGAGGAATAGTCTCTCTTTTGGAGGAACTGTCTCTCTTATGGAGGCACTGTCTCTCTTTTGGAGGCACTGTCCATCTTTTGGAGGCACTTTCCCCCTTTTGGAGGAACTGTCCCTCTTTTGGATGAATAGTCTCTCTTTTGGAGGAACTGTCTCTCATTTGAAGGGACTCTCTCTCATTTGGAGGAATAGTCTCTCATTTGGAGGCGCTGTCCCTCTTTTGGAGGAATAGTCTTTATTTTGGAGCAACTGACCCCCTTTTGGAGGAATTGTCTCTCTTTTGGAGGCCAAAAACCTAAATAAAAAACAATCCTGCCGCCCCCGCCATCTGGTTGCCATTCTCCATTGGAGGGGCTTTGGTTGGGAGGGGGGCGCATTGAGGAACCTGGCCTTTGGGGCAGCAGAGAGAGTAATTCTGGCCCGGGACACAACAGGAAGAGGAAATAATAAAAAGTCATCGGAACATTGGAAGATTTCACCTCTATTGATGGTAAGGTGACAGCTCTTTTGGGTGACCTTCTGCACCGTGAACAGAGAGGACAAATCTTCCCAGCGGGGGCAGAGGCTACAATTAAAACCCAACAGGCTGTAGACCTCCCTTTAAATGACACATCTGCGACCAGATTCTCTCTTCTTAGTTTCAAATGAACTTTAGGAAACTGAAAAACTGAAGGGATGAAGCTGATTGGTTGTCATAGGCATAAAGGACAGTTGTTCTTCCTAGCCCTCCCAATTATAACGTGTCCCTCTGATGTCTTGCAGGCTCTTCAGTGTTATTCTGGAACAGTTTTCTCATAAACAAGGAGATGCTCATCACATGAGCGGGAAGCCCGGTGGGTTTGATGTGAAGGCGCTAAGAGCATTTCGTGTACTGAGACCCCTGCGACTTGTATCTGGTGTCCCAAGTAAGAATCGTTGGGTTCAATGCCTTTGGGAATTGTTATCCTGTCAAAGCTTTGCGAAGGGTTTTCTCTAAGGCCTGTTTCACACCTAGACGTATTGCATATGCACATCTGTCGCGCGACAAATGCGCGTTTCCGAGGGCTACTTGGCTGTATCCCAATGGAAACGCGCAACAAAAACGGCCCAAAGTAGTACATGTACCTTTTCAGGCGTGGGCCGTTTTGTAGCGCGTTAGGGACGGGCTGAAATACGCCAAGGTGTGAACGAGGCCTTAGAGTGTAGACTTTCCTTCTTTTGATGTAAAATTCTAAGTTCAGCTTCCTTTTTCCTGTTTATATCATCGGTGAGAAGATATTGATCATGCACGATCCCTGCCCTGCCAATCCATCTCTACCAATACTCCCACGACCAGTCCCCTCCACCATATCTGTAGGCCTTCTTCCTCCTCAGCCCTCCAGCACTGTTCTGTCAACTCATCTTTAGGACCTTCTCCATACCACCTCACCAATTCTTATGGCCATTTTCCATCCTTCAATCACTGCCCAGTCTGCTGTCACTTAGTCTTACTCTTCTTTTTCGTTGGGAAGGGGACTAGTTTGAATGCTGAAGTATTTGTAGGGGTTCTTTGTAGGGATGCACAGTTACCAGGTACAGGTACTTTCCCATCTCTAAGGCTAGAGAAAAACTCAAAAATTAGGAGGCAGCTGCCATTTTTAAGGAGAATTGTCTACGAGGCTCCTGGGATTTGTGCATCCCTGTATTAATGTATGATTTATTTTATATATATATATATATATGGGATGCACAGATACAGTTTTTTCAGTATCAAGTACGAGTACCCATATTTTTTTTCCCGGTACTCGCCGATACCGAGTACCGCTGCCTTGTGCCCCGATTATCAGGAAGTCGGGCAGCGGATCATGACCCGTCACCCGGCTTCCTGATTGCCTGTGAAGCCGGTGTCTCAGCGAAAGAACACCGGCGGCAGAGGCCGCCTGGCTTCCTGACCAATCAGGAAGCTGGGCGCCGAGCTATGAGGTGATGCCTGGCTTCCCGATTGGTTAGGAAGCCAAGCTGCCTACCAACAAGTGAAGCTGGCTCCCTGACTAATCAGGAAGCGCAGGAGGCGGGTCATTACGTGCCACCTGGCTTCCAGATTGGTTAGGAAGCCAGGCTGCTTAGCAACACGTGAAGGCGGCTTCCTAGCCAATCAGGAAGCCGGGAGGTGGGTCATAACCCACCACCCAACTTCCTGATTTGGAAAGGAAGCCGGCTCCATGCTCCCTCCGCACTGCCGGTCAGTTCCGGTATTAGAAGTATCAGAGTATTTGGGCGAGTATGAGTACTCGCCCGAATACTCGATATCGGTGCATCCCTAATATATAGTCTCTCTATATACTATATATATATATATCTCTTAGGAGTGCACCGTTACCATTTTTCCTGACCAAGTACAAGTACCAATACTTGTCCTCACAGATACCAATTACCAGGTATGAAATCTGATCCATGGTGATTCAGGCATCTTGGGGTCACTCTGGTGTTTCAGAAACAAATCTAAGAAAGTAACTTTTTTTTTTTTCCATAAAACCTTCAGAGTAAAATCTTTGTGTCATTAAAGGAGAACTATAGAGTCAGGGCTTTTCCCCATAGTTCTCCTTAGGGTAACGGGAGGACACAAACTAGCGTCCTCCCGTCACCCTAAGCTCAGTATATAGGGAGCTACAGCTCGCGGTATACTGAGACGCCGCAGCCGGAACGGATCCCGACTTTCTCCTTTAAACCTTCCAAGTAGGGTAAGAGGGAGATGCAGTAATATGATAATCCACTCTGTCATTTCATTGCTGCCGTCCTAAATCAGTTACACCGTGCTTATTGTGTCTCGCAGGTCTACACATTGTACTGAATTCTATCATGAAGGCAATGGTCCCTTTACTGCACATTGCTCTTCTCGTCTTGTTTGTCATCATTATTTACGCCATCATTGGACTGGAACTCTTTATTGGCCGCATGCACAAAACCTGCTTTTACATCGGGATAGGTAAGAGTTTGGAAATATAAGCCTCTGCTTTTTAGTATCAAGATGGAGTCTGTCAGGGCCTACTAATAAGTCTACCTTCAAGTCAGACGTTCTTCAATGGGCTCTGCTGTTCAATGTGAAGATGGAGTCTATCAGGGCCTACTAATAAGTCTACCTTCAAGTCAGACGTTCTTCAATGTGCTCTGCTGTTCTATGTGAAGATGGAGTCTAACAAAACCTACTAATAAGTCTAACTTTAAGTCAGACGTTCTTCAATAATCTCTGCTGTCCAGTGTCAAGATGGAGTCTTTTAGGGCCTACTAATAAGTCTACCTTTAAATTAGATGTTTTTCAATAGGCTCTGCTGTTCAATATGAAGATGGAGTCTTTTAGAGCCTTCTAATAAGTCTACCTTTAAGTCAGACGATCTTCAATAAGTTCTGCTGTTCAATGTAAAGATGGAGTCTATCAGGGCCTACTAATAAGTCTAATTTTAAGTCAGACGTTCTTCAATAGGTTCTGCTGTTCAATGTAAAGATGGAGTCTAACAGGGCCTACTAATAATTCTACCTTTAAGTCAGACGTTCTTCAATAAGTTCTGCTGTTCAATGTGAAGATGGAGTCTATCAGGACCTATTAATAAGTCTAACTTTAAGTCAGACGTTCTTCAATAATCTCTGCTGTCCAGTGTCAAGATGGAGTCTTTTATGGCCTACTAATAAGTCTACCTTCAAGTCAGACGTTCTTCAATAGGTTCTGCTGTTCAATGTAAAGATGGAGTCTAACAGGGCCTACTAATAATTCTACCTTTAAGTCAGACGTTCTTCAATAGGTTCTGCTGTTCAATGTAAAGATGGAGTCTATCAGGGCCTACTAATAAGTCTAACTTTAAGTTAGACGTTCTTCAATGGGCTCTGCTGTTCAATGTGAAGATGGAGTCTATGAGAACCTACTAATATGTCTAACTTTAAGTTAGACGATCTTCAATAAGTTCTGCTGTCCAGTGTCAAGATGGAGTCTATCAGGGTCTACTAATGAGTCTGGAGGCTGGAGTTGATCATCTCCCAATGCTATTGGGTACATACAGCTTAAACCTAACAAGAATGTTGCGCTAGCATGCTTGTATAGGCTTGGAAAGTTGGGCTAGGTTGTCACTTCCTGTTTTAGTGACACCATATGACATTCTGACACACAGGAAGTGAGCAGAAACCTCCCCAGTGGGGGAAGAAACAACACAAAAAAGATGTTCCAACCCTTCCCCACTTTACTAAATAAAAGTGTTTTGTATAGGGATGATGTATACCCAAGTTTCAGCCACCAAAACATTTTGGCCGAAAATGGTACTATGGGCAAAATGCCCATAGTACAAAAACTCTTCTCCACGCTCGGAACCAACTGCAAACTTCAGTCTGTATCCCTACCGATCCCCCGCCTGTGTCGAGATCTGTACTGAGCCGCTTCCTGTTCATTCATAAAATGAGCAGATAGTAAATATTTACTATGTCCCCATTCATAAATGAACAGGAAGTGATGTATAGCAGGGTGCTGTACATAGCTTCCTGAAAACATCACAGCACCCTGCCTCAGTACTCCTTTGAAGAGCTATCAGCCCTTATACAAGCAGTGGGCTGGCTCTTGGGAGGAGTTATGCAAATATCAAAATGCCTTGTAGTATGGGTGTCAGTCTGGAGGAGTGGGCGTTCCTAGGTGGACCTCATTTGCACAGGTAACGCCCAGAAGTGATCCTGAGACTCCATGATTGAAAGAACTGAAATCCAATGAAAGAAAGGGGCGGGGCCAGAGACAGTCAGGCTAGATGATGCTCCAGCCAGGAAATGAGGCAGACTCTGACTTGCTGCAGCTTCTAATGCACATTATACGAAGCTAACAGCGTGCAGTGACATAAGGGGAAGCCATTTCAGTCCAGGGGAGGAGCCGGTACAACTGTGCAAGACTGAAGGGAAGGCCGGAGGTCACTTTTATACTGTTAGCCCATGCTAATCGAATCTTCCAACCCGTCCTTTATTTGTCTAACAGACCTGGTCTCAGAGGAAGAGCCGGCGCCCTGCGCTTTCTCCGGCCACGGAAGGGAATGCAATTTGAATACCACAGAGTGCCGCGGGAAGTGGGAGGGACCCAACGGTGGCATCACCAACTTCGACAATTTCTTTTTCGCCATGTTGACCGTGTTCCAGTGCATCACCATGGAGGGCTGGACAGATGTTCTCTACTGGGTGAGATTTGTTCTCAGAGCTTTTTGCACAGCGCGTTAATCCCGACACCGTCCCCTTCGTTTCTCATTTCTGTCCTACCCCTACTGTCAGGGTACCGTGCGCGGGTGCCCCCACACCGCATGCAGGTACCCACGCAGGAGGACCAAATTTGTATGACCGCACTAGACAAGGTCAGTGAGTTATATACAGTTTATTTGTAACCAGCAAAACAAATACAACAACAACCCCACAAACAACCCACAAGCAAGCACAAGTAAGTTAGTAACCAACTAAATATAATATATACACACTCAGGGTATACAAGCCAGGTAAACCCGGGGAGCCGGGCAAGACCAGGGGAGCTGGGTCACACCAGGGGAGCTAAGGGACAACGGGTCAGGGTACTGGCAGGTAACAGGACTCAAGGTGGGCCACACCAGGGGAGCTAAGGGACAAAGGGTCAGGGTACAGGCAGGTAACAGGACTCATGGGGCCACACCAGGGGAGCTAAGGGAGAACGGGTCAGGGTACAGGCAGGTAACAGGACTCAAGCTGGGCCACACCAGGGGAGCTAAGGGAGAATTGGTCGCCACACCAGGGGAGCTAAGGGACAACGGGTCAGGGTACAGGCAGGTAACAGGACTCAGGACTCCCACACCAGGGGAGCTAAGGGACAACGGGTCAGGGTACAGGCAGGTAACAGGAATCATGGGGCCACACCAGGGGAGCTAAGGGACAACGGGTCAGGGTACAGGCAGGTAACAGGACCCAAGCTGGGCCACACCAGGGGAGCTAAAGGACAAAGGGTCAGGGTACAGGCAGGTAACAGGACCCAAGCTGGGCCACACCAGGGGAGCTAAAGGACAAAGGGTCAGGGTACAGGCAGGTAACAGGACCCAAGCTGGGCCACACCAGGGGAGCTAAAGGACAAAGGGTCAGGGTACAGGCAGGTAACAGGACCCAAGCTGGGCCACACCAGGGGAGCTAAAGGACAAAGGGTCAGGGTACAGGCAGGTAACAGGACCCAAGCTGGGCCACACCAGGGGAGCTAAAGGACAAAGGGTCAGGGTACAGGCAGGTAACAGGACCCAAGCTGGGCCACACCAGGGGAGCTAAAGGACAAAGGGTCAGGGTACAGGCAGGTAACAGGACCCAAGCTGGGCCACACCAGGGGAGCTAAAGGACAAAGGGTCAGGGTACAGGCAGGTAACAGGACCCAAGCTGGGCCACACCAGGGGAGCTAAAGGACAAAGGGTCAGGGTACAGGCAGGTAACAGGACCCAAGCTGGGCCACACCAGGGGAGCTAAAGGACAAAGGGTCAGGGTACAGGCAGGTAACAGGATACTGAAAGCGGGTAACAGGGCTCAGGACTGCAAGCAGGTAACAGGGCTCAGGACTAGTCAAGGAAAGGCGACAGGATACTGAGCTACAGTCCTGACTGCAGGGAGGGATTAAGTACCCTCCCAGGAAGCACCAGGTGGTGGATAATCGCTGGCAGGTGAGCACTGGAGTCGCAGGTTCCAGCACCACCCAGGGGTGGTCTGGTACCTGACAGTTCTTGGCTGCCTTGAGACACCTGCAGTCGAGCACAGGAACTGCAGGACCTTGTTTTTGCATGTAGGCGCACCAAACAAATTTTTGCGCATCTATGTGGGGGTGGGGGACTTGAAAAAAAAATTAGTGGTTTTTTTTGTGTGCAAATCTTATTTATTTTGTGACCAACGGTTTTTTTTTGTAACTTTTTTTTTTTTACACTTAAGTTTACTGTTATCACATAGGGTGATAAGAATCCCCCTATGTGATATCACATTACAGCGACAGGTCTGCTTTATGGAGACATCAGCGGTCTCTAAGACCTCTAATGTCACCTAGGGACCCCCAGAGAAGCTGATGAAACACAGATCTGCTACATCAGCTTCTCTCCGGTTTCTGTAGCCGGAGAGTGACAGAGGAATGCGGGAAGTGATGTCGTAAACATCACTTCCTGCATTACAGAGACTCGGGGAGGAGAGCGGAGGGAGATCGTGTACTGATCTCCCTCTGTTCTCAGTGCAGGTAGCCACACTGCCCGTCCCGACGCATTCCCTCTCACAGCCACTGCTGAGCTGTGTCAGTGACAGCCAGCACCCTGATATGCCATAGCGACCCAGGCGGCCCACACGACATCAGGGGGATGCCCTGGCCGGGCCCCCCTGTTCATGGGCCCCATAGTGGCCGCCTGGGTCTCTATGGCGATTTTTACAATATGTTTAATATTATACCTCGGATTAGAGAAGAATAAAGGGTTACCAGCTTTATATAACTGACATATACTCTTCTGTGCCTCTCAGATGCAGGACGCCATGGGCTACGAGCTCCCCTGGGTTTACTTTGTCAGCTTGGTTATCTTCGGATCCTTCTTTGTCCTAAACCTTGTGTTGGGTGTCTTGAGCGGGTAAGTGGATTCACTCAGAAGTACCAGACAAAGGGGTTTATTGGGGGGAGTATTCACTAACATGGTATAAACTTCAGACCAATGACATATTTGCTATACGTAGTTTAGTGTAGTTGAACCAATATAGGCCGATGTTCTGTCGAAATGGCCAACCCGTCGAGATCTCCAACCCCGTAACGTCACATCCGTTGGAGATTTCGACGAGACGGCGCTAGTGCGCCAGCCTTGGCATTTTTCCAAGCCTCGTCGACTTGCCCAATTGCCCTAGGTGCGCCTGTGCGGCCTCGCAATCCCCATCGAGTTCTCCGACTGCAATCACTACTTGTGCCGTCGGGTGCCCGCTCACTAACGCAAATTAGGCAACGCGACGCTGCTCTTAGGTGGACACGCAGACGCACTGACGGGAGTTGGAGAGCTCGACAAGTTGGACATCTCGATAGAACTCCGGTCTGTGATTGATTTCTGCACGTTCCTGCTGGACATGGCTATATGGCTATATACCTTACCCATAACTGCAGTCAGTATCAGAATATTGCTCTTTGGGTAGAAAAGGACAAATTAGGGAAAGTTAGTAGACGCAAAATATTAGATGGACAGATGAATATATACTAAAAAGAATGTGGATTATTTTAGTATCTTGACATGAGGCTCAATCCCTCCGGAACCCTTGTATTAAGCCATGCTGGTCTGATGTGGGTTGCCATTGTAGCACCCACCCTAAACCCCCCCCCCCAAAGGAGCCGCCAGAATAACCCAGGTCATCACTAGTCTGTCTAGGAGGGTTATTCACAAAGCTAGCTGAAGGATCAGCCATAGCTCCAGTTTAGTTGAACTGAAGGGCTGCTGTACGGGCTATTCACTATAGGCATATGGTTCGGCTCGTCTGAGCCGTAGTGACACCTGAAGCGGGGCTAACGGCCGGCCGAAAGCCTCGCACTGACAGCTGGGTGGAGCCAGCGGTGATCTCATGGCTAGCTCCACCTAGTTGCAATGACAGATCAGCTGAACTGTCATTAAACAATGACATCCCGGCCGCCCAGTTGGTTTATTCATTGGCTGGGACCTGCTAGAAGACCGCCGGAGCCCTTCAGTCGCACTAAAGGGCTGCTGTATGGGCTATTCACTATAGCACGTACAGCAGCTGAAGGTGGTCGGGCGGCTCAGCCGAGCCAATAGGAAACAGTTGGGCGGAGCTAGCTCTGCCCAATTGTTTTTTTTTTTTAAAGAAATCTTTATTTTTTTTAGATTTATCATTTATTTACATTTTTAAACCTTTTTTTTCCTACTTTTTTTCACTATTTGCTATTCTGCTCGGTACCGCGGAGGTACGGAGCAGAGTAGCCGAGCCGAATGCCGCTCGGTGGCATTCGGCTATTCACTCACTGCCTTTGAGAATAGGGGGCGAACGGCAGCGAGCGAGCTGCCGCAGCTTCTGCTCAGCCGATCCGTATGTTGGATCGGCTGAGTCGAAGTCCGTCTGCACTTTTCGGCCCAGCCGAACATGCAGAGCAGCTGACCAAAGGCAGCCAATGTACGGCTGATTTCAAGACTGAAGTGGATAGCCGAGCAGCGTACGGCTCACGTCACTTCGTCTCGGCTACTCACTGGGCTGCCTGCGGAAGCTTTGTCCATAACCCTGTAAATTTCGAGTAGCCACCTCACAAAAGGTGATGGGTGGGGGTGGGGGGGGAGGGGCTACACCATACTTTCATGTACCTTGCGGTTTGGTTAGATAGCATTTGAATCGAGTTATATAGAAACTGCAGGTCAGCGCACCAAAATGTAGCATGTAGACCTAGAGCAGAGTGTCCATTTACTCCCCATGCCCAGATGCAGCCACCGGCCCCTTTCTCACAACTCCCTGGGTTCCTGGACCCGGGCAGGGAAGACATGTTCTTCAGCTTCCCTCCTTCAGTAGCCAAGGCTGATGAGACAGGGGTAGTCGGGCAAGTGGTCTGCTGCCAGGTGAGTGGCCCCCTACTGTCAGGACCAGCATTCGGGCAGTTGGAAAGCTTCTCCGGAAGATGAAACTTCTGTCGCTAGCCTCTTTCCAATCGCTACTAGAATTCTAATACTCTAGTTGCAGTT